TTCTGCCACCCCCTTGCATGGACCTCCTTGTACTTAAAAACCATCTCCATCATTTCATCGGTTAATAAGTTTTCGGACTGTTTTTCATTTGCAATTTCTTTGTACAGACTATGTAGATAACTTTACACTGTATATTCTTGTCATTGCTTGCGCTGAATGATGTCCATATTGGTGAAGAGATCGAGTCCATAATACAGTGTTACTATCAATTTACATGTCCTATAGTATGTAATAAAATTCTTTATCTGCTCAAATTATTTAGTATGTATTCTGAAATCAAACAAGTCCTTCCTCCGATAAAGATATTATGTACTTTAAATTCAGGCATCATCCACATCTGCCATGATTTGGTCTTCATTTGCCAAGTCATCTGTATCGGCTGAGCCAGACGTGGACGCTGACAACAGGGTGACTGAGGCTTTTTTAGTGATTGCTCTTACAGGTTCATGACAAGCGTGATTACAGAGTTGTCGTATAAAAAAAACAAATAGGGCAAGGATTCCTGACTTGCCTTTAATTCAACACAGACTGTTACATACAACAAATACTGTGGTATTTCGACTGACTGTTCTGCCAATGTGACATGTGATGGCCTTGAACAGTCGGGAGGTGTGTTCGAAATCGGGATCACCATGTGACATAGCAATGAAAGTGTTCAGCCAGCGACAAGTGTTCGCTGAGCTGCCTGAGCGGGTGATATGGCCACTTCAGTCACCCATTTTAGGGTACCTATGAGGTACATCAATTCCTTGATTTAGGGTACCTTGAGGGTACCCATTCCAGGGTGGTATATGAGCTCAATACCAATACCATGGTACCATGGAATGGAAAACTCATACCATATCCCACTCATACCAATACCATATTACCATACCATACCATGTCATCTCATACCATACCAAATGATCTCATACCATACCATACCATCATACCAAAGCTGACAAAGGGTGTCTGGGGTCCTTTTTCAAAATATATAAATTATTTCTGCAGGCTGCAATACTGGTCCATTGGGTGCCATCTTTTGTGGAAAGGTTCTTCAGGTTTTTGTTGAGATTATAAGCTACAAGTGGAGGTGAGATAGTAATTCCATTCTTTGGAAATCAGTTCTATTGAGCTTTATCCCAGGTTTTGTCATGCATGAAAAGCCATTTAATGTTATATATCCTTCCCATTTCTTTCAATTAGAACAATATTCATTACAAACAAACTGTGATGATGTGGTCTTTGAGAAGCAAAGAAGACAAGACATTTTGTGTACTTTAACAACACCAAGTACCACTCCACATATAACTCACTTCAAAGGCAGCATTTTTATATTGGCCTTTTTCTTTGTTTATACAGAGTGCAATTTTCACTCAGACTTTACATTCTTGGAATCACTAGGCAGATGAGAAGTTAAATTTGGGGAATGCTGAGATTTTATTGACCAGCTATGAAGAAAAGTTGGCTATTTGAGTTGTGACTTGGCCACTACTGGCTGAACCTCAATAACTCAATGAGAACTTAATACTTTTTTACATTCTTTTTCTAAGGATTTAGATCTACTCCCTATCTATCTGGAGATTTTCAGAACAAAAAATTGAATAATAAATGTACTCTATACAAGCAAAATTGAGGAAGAATCAGCTAAAAAACATGGCACTAATAGCATATGGTATGGTCCATGGTATAATATTATTACATCCCATAGTCATACCAAACCTGTCATACCATACCTGTTATACCATACCATGTTCATACCATACCTGTTATACCATACCATACGTTCATACCATACCATACATACCATACCATACATGTCATACCATACCATGTTCATACCACATGTCATACCATACCATGTTCATACCATACCTGTCATACCATATCATACCATACATACCATACCATACCATGCTCATACCATACCTGTCATACATACCATACCATACCATACCATACATGCCATACCACACATCCCATCCCATCCCATACCTGTCATACCATACCATACCATACATACCATACCATACATACCATACCATGTTCATACCATACCTGTCATACATACCATACCATACCATACCATACCATACATGCCATACCATACCTACCATGGTCATACCATACCTTGGCAGGATTTCTCCTAAATTATTTCAGC